TGTATGTTGATTACTTTATCGAAATTCCAAGTCGGAACACGTCAGGGGGGGGGAATAAAATAACAAGAAATAACAGCTTCCGTCTGACTAAATCTGAATAGATGTGTCACCCGATCCCGACGTTACCAAAACTCCTTTCATGACCTCCGGATGAAGAAGGGAACTAGATAAGATGTTTCCTCAGGTCATAGCTGTCTTATTGAGGTCAGTCAGACATGTATGATATCTTCAGATGACGACAATGTTGGTTAGGGCTATCACCGTTCACACACACAATGCACCCGTTTCTGACTTAGAGGGAGTAGGCCGAGGCCATGTTGACACTAATCTGCATTCCTTTGTTACTGTGTCGAAATGGAAGTAATGAATCAGCTACAGTATATACCAATTGCCTCACATCTAATACTGAGATGTAGATAACCAATCAATCTGACAAAAAAATAAATGTTATTCTACTATTAGACACTATTATAATTATATTATTATTGGGTAGACGACCAACACAGACAAGGCTTGGTACCGCTCTCAGTGCCTCAGATAGCGCTCTGTCTGCTTGTGAATGTTACTGTGTTGATGCAATAAGTCATCATAGAGATGCTAATGGAAGTGCCTGTGGATTATGCACTGTGGTGATAAATACCCATCTTCATCCACCGTTAATGAACACTGTAGAGGGCCTCTACAGTCCTGGCTCCTGGATGGAAGGATGAGGTCATGAAGTCCCAATGCACTGTGAGGTGCTAGATCTGAAGTCAGAGCATACATACATACATACATACATACATATATACATACATACATACATATATACATACATACATACATACATACATACATACATACATACATACATACATACATACATACATACATACATACATACATACATACATATACATACATACATACATACATACATACATACATACATACATACATATATACATACATACATACATACATACATACATACATACATACATACATACATACATACATACATACATACATACATACATACATACATATATACATACATACATACATACATATATACATACATACATACATACATACATTCATACATTCATACATACAGACATACATACATACATACAGTGAGAGAAAAAAAGTATTTGATGTATGTAGTATATGTGAGTGTGTGGGTTTTTGGAGGGAGTGTCAATGTAGTGTGTGTGAGTGAGTGTGTATATGGTGTGTATATAAAGTCTAGTGAGTGTGCGTAGGGTCAGTGCAAGATAGTTTGAATAACATTTGTTGACTATTTAGCGGTCTTAAGGCTTGGGGGTAAAAGCTGTCTCAGAGCCTGTTTGCCGAACGGTAGCAGAGTGAATAGTCCATGGCTTGGGTGGCTGGAGTCTTTGGCAATTTTTCGGGCCTTCCTCTGACACCGCCTGGTATAGAGGTCCTGGATGGCAGGGAGCTCGGGCCCCAGTGATGTACTGGGCTGTCCGCACCACCCTCTGTAGCGCTTTGCGGTCGAGGGCGGTGCATTTGCCATACCAGGCGGTGATGCAGCCAGTCAGGATGCTCTTGATGGTGCAGCTGTAGAGCTTTTGGAGGATCCGTGGGCCCGTGCCAAACCCTTTCAGCCTCCCGAGGGGGAAGAGGTGCTGCCTTGCTTTCTTCATAACTGTGTTGGTGTGTGGACCATGTTAAGTCCTTAGTGATGTGGACGCCAAGGAACTTGAACCCGCTCCACAACAGCCCATCAACAATGCAACAACAATGCAACAACAATGCAACAACGCAACAACAATGCAACAACAATGCAACAACAATGCAACAACGCAACAGCAATAGCAATAACAGAATGACCAATGTCAAAGTCCGTATTATAAATATGTATATACTGTATATAAATGGTGTGTATATATGAATAGAAAAGGTGAGTAAATCACAGTTCCATTAGTGTTTTCATAACTCTTCAACAATCCATTAGATCAAGTGGGGGATATAAGCTACTGCCTTCCACAAGAGGATGGGAAAATTAAAAGTATATCTGAAATAAATAATCTTAGATTTTCGATCATAATATTTTCAGTGTGGGGGGGGGGGATCAAAAGAAGTATGGCTTTTAATTGCATTATATTTGTAAAGATCCAGTGGACGGTAAAATAAGAAGAATGTTTTTACAGTTAACGGAGCCATTTATTACCCTGTTTCCACTACAGCTGGGCTGAATTAGAGAGGAACAGAAAGTAATGTTTTCATTCTTTTCATGTCCAGGGCTAGTTGAAAGACTGCTCTTAGAGAAGAGAAAATACACATCTTATATAAGAATTGGGCCGTACAGACACACTGTTTAAATAACAGACAGATGGAAGGTTTATAATATGCATCTCTGTGACAAAATTGTACGATTGTAGAAATGAACAACGTCTTGTGTTCCGTCTATACATCTGCATTCTGTCAAGGCGTGTCTTCACGATATTACCACGCAACAATGATGTATATAAACAGGAATATGTATGTCTATGGTTTGCAAGTCTTCCTATAAAAAAAAAAGGCATCAAATGCTGTTGCTGTATTGAATACTTTTCTATAAATATGGTTTTCCTGAAATATGCTATTAACAATTATTACAATGCTACTACCATGTTATTAACACATTTGAGCGCTTCGCTTGTGTAAATCATCCACAGTGTCTACTACTTTATGAACTGTCTGTCCTCTGCTCAATGATGGCCACAGGGTGGCGGTGTTGAGTTACATAAAGGAATCTCATGATGGATTATAATACCAAACTAGGACTAAACCAGGGTATGGGAATGCTGAATGCAGACTGAAAGGAATTTCTATTGAATTACACATGCCAACATACATGGCATGCTTTTAGTATCAATGTGCTGGTATTCCCAATAAATGCCACCTCTTGCTGGTGCAAAAATTAAGGAAATAATCAGCATTTTATGTAGGTAATCTGGCCGACCGGACCTATCAATCTCTAGTACGGTATGTGAGGTAATCAGGCTTTACCGGACCAATCAGTCTCCAGTATGGTATGTGAGGTAATCAGGCTTTACCGGACCAATCAGACTCCAGTATGGTATGTGAGGTAATCAGGCTTTACCGGACCAATCAGACTCCAGTATGGTATGTGAGGTAATCAGGCTTTACCGGACCAATCAGACTCCAGTATGGTATGTGAGGTAATCAGGCTTTACCGGACCAATCAGTCTCCAGTATGGTATGTGAGGTAATCAGGCTTTACCGGACCAATCAGACTCCAGTATGGTATGTGAGGTAATCAGGCTTTACCGGACCAATCAGACTCCAGTATGGTATGTGAGGTAATCAGGCTTTACCGGACCAATCAGACTCCAGTATGGTATGTGAGGTAATCAGGCTTTACCGGACCAATCAGTCTCCAGTATGGTATGTGAGGTAATCAGGCTTTACCGGACCAATCAGTCTCCAGTATGGTATGTGAGGTAATCAGGCTTTACCGGACCAATCAGTCTCCAGTATGGTATGTGAGGTAACCTGTCCGACCTGACCAATCAGGCTCCAGTATAGCCAACTCAGCTTCCTTCCGTGAGCCTTCTTCTCTATGCAGCTGTAGGTACCAGGGACTGCTAGGACATTTACCTTGTTGGTGGTCATAACTACTGGCAGTACTGAACACGTGCCATCGCTCCGTTAATCCCCTGTAGTCTTCTTCCCATCTTTCAGTGAGCCTTGTGACAGCAGTGTGTCAACACCAACATATTGGCAGATGACTGTGTAGTTTAGACTGTGCTCCAAGATACCGATACGGTTCAATTTTGTTCTTTGAATCTAACAGATACACTGGTCTGTGTCCTACAAACACGAAATTTTCCGAATACAAAACACATTTTTATTCTATAATGTGGCACTTTTTCTTTACTGTTTCCTGATTTTTCCAACTATGGGACATGGATAAATATTCTGGACTGTATTACAATATAGGGAAGTGTCACTATACGCCATTCCAGTGTGCTCAGTGCTCTGACATTACAGAGGGATGGCCTGCTCTGCGGCCTGGGATTGATGATGTCACAGAGAGACAGAGAGAGAGAGAGAGGAGAGAGAGAGAGAGAGAGAGAGAGAGAGAGAGAGAGAGAGAGAGAGAGAGAGAGAGAGCTATCGCTTCTATCTCGCTAGATCTCGCTCATCTCGCTAGCGAGATCCAGATCGAGAGAGATCCTAGCTATCCTCTCTCGCTAGAGAGAGAGATTTGTTACAACACTGTATATATACATAATATGACATTTGAAATGTCTTTATTCTTTTGAAACTTCTGAGTGTAATGTTTAACTGTTAATATTTATTGTTTATTTCACTTTTGTTTTACTATCTATTCACTTGCTTTGGCATGTTAACACACGTTTCCCATGCCAATAAGCCCTTAAATTGAATTGAAATTGAATTGAATTGAATTGAGAGAGAGAGAGAGAGAGAGAGTAGGGAAGGGAGCGAGAGAGAGGGAGAGGGAGCGAGAGAGAGGGAGAGGGAGCGAGAGAGAGGGAGGAGAGAGCGAGAGAGAGAGAGAGAGGAGAGAAGAGAGAGAGACTCGCGCGCGCGCGCGCGCGCTTCGTCTCTCGCTAGCTCTCGCCTCGCGCGCTCGCCCGCGCGCCTCTCGCGCGCGCTGCCGCCTCCAGACTGGCTCTGGTGCCAGGTTGTTCTCAGAATCACAGATTTGTCATCCGATTTAGCACTTTTAAACTGTTTCTTGTTGCTAAAACTGGCATTACATTACATGTAAGACATTGACACAGAATGGAATATGGAACCAATGGAATTGTTTTAGTGATTCTATTTCAGTGTTCTGGATCATTTTCCTTACCTTCCAATAGGACATTTTCTAGACTGTCCCCACTGAAGGTCAGTGGTAGCCATAGCGACATCACAGACAGTAGGAGGAGTGGTATGTTTTATTTATAGTATGAGTGACAGAGTGAGTCGCAGGCAAACAGGCTCCACCGAGGTACACAGAGATATAAGTTACTCTAACAATGACAGACAGTAACCTAAGTGAACGCAATCATAGCAGAGTGGTCTGTCATAGAGATATAGCTATATGTTTTCACTTCTATTGCTATGGGTCTGTCATTTTGTAATGTCAATTTAACTTTAATCTCCAACACTTAGATACAAGAGTTTGGAGATCCTTCGCACCATGTGCCAGATAATGTAATCTCCCCTTATTAAACTGAGAAGTGGTCAGTATGGTGAGAGGGGTCACATGGTCACAGTCCTAATGCTCAAGGTGAAGGCCACTGTCCTGTCAATCAGGCCGTGTAGGAAACAGAGACAGAGACACGATGTGTTGAAAGTCACGGCCATGTCCATTACTAAATGGAAAAACATTGAATGAAACAGGGACGGAAACACCCATTTTAGTTTTTAGTTTTAAAGAATTTTGCTACAGTGCCCCCTACTGGACACCACCTGGGTTTCACTGTATCCTCATGTGACGGTCACATGCTCTAGTCCAGCGCATTAATGCCTGTCAAATGGAATACAGTCAGTTACTCAGCTTAAGACCTCTGCCTTAGCAGTGAGTGACTGATCCCAGTGCAACTAGGCTTACCTTTGTGTGAAGTCCTGTGTCTAAATAAAGGATTACTCTGACCCTTGAGGGGGAAATTATAGCATACTTTTAATTTTCACATTAACAGTAAAGTTTGTCCTGAGTAAGTGTCTTGTAATGGAATTATTTGATTTGACAATTTCAAAACACATACAAATGTTACACCAGGCAGCAGATACCAAAATTGTGGAGGACACACACACAAAACATTCAAGAGATTTGTTTCCATTGTGGTCCTCTATAAGGCAAGGGCTGCAGGGAAAAATCAAGTGTCATGGGCACTCTGGTGTAGACTGATTCATTTGATAATTATGCAATCATTGTTAGTATGTGATCCCAACGTAAACCTTGGGGTTGCTAGGTTTATAAACCAGGACAGAAATACCTGGGCCCTCAAGGAACTACACTGGACTTTGTGCAAACTGGAAACCACATATCCTGAGGCCGCATTTATTGTAGCTGGGGAAAACGCAAATCTGAGGAAACCGCTACCGAAGTTCTATCAACACATTGCCTGTAGTACTCGCGTTTTCAAAATCTCTCCACCATTGTCACTCTCCCTTACAGGATGCCTACAAGGCCCTCCCCTGCCCTCCCTTCGGCAAATCAGATCACGACTCCATTCTGCTCCTCCCTTCCTTTAGGCAGAAACTAAGATCTATTCAATGCTGGTCTGACCAATCGGAATCCATGCTTCAAGATTGTTTTGATCACGCGGACTTGGATATGTTCCTAGTTGCCTCTGAGAATAACATTGACGTATACAGTGACACGGTGACTGAGTTCATCAGGAAGTGTATAGGGGATGTTGTTCCCACTGTGACTATTAAAACTTACCCAAACCAAAAACCATGGATAGATGGCAGCAGTCGCGCAAAACTGAAAGTGCGAACCACCGCATTTAACCACGGCAAGGTGACTGGGAATATGGTCAAATACAAACAGTGTAGTTATTCAATGGCTCAGACACGAGACGTATGTGGCAGGGACTCCAGACAATCACGGGAAAACCAGCCACGTTGAGGACACCGACGTCTTGCTCCCGGACAAGATAAACACCTTCTTCGCCCACTGTGAGGATAACTGTGACGAGTACTGAGGATACGAAGAGGCAGGACGCAGACGCAGGAATCAACAATATAAAGGTTTAGTTAAGACTGAGCAAGTGCACAACAAAGAGCGAGTAGACGACATGACGCTAACAATCACACACAACACAACACTGAACAGTCCAGGGCTATATAGGGGTGGTGATGAGATGATGAGGTGCAGGAGCGTTGGAGGTGATTAGGGTGCGTTGGGTTTCCATTCCGGTGTTGCCGAGGTGGTGCGCTCAGACCGGTGGCTCAGTAGACCGGCGAATCAGAGCACCGGAGGGGAGCAACGGGAGGAGACGTGACAGTACCCCACCCCAGATGCGTGGCTCCCGCCGCAGGACGTCGCCAGCCAGGAGGACGACCCCGAGGACGAGGAGCGGGCCTATCAGGGTGGCGACGGTGGAAGTCCCAAATTAGGTTGGGGTCCAGAACGTCCCCAGCCGGAACCCAGCTCCTCTCCTCAGGACCATACCCCTCCCAGTCCACCAGGTAATGGAGCCGTCCCCCACGGAACCTGGAGTCCAGCAGGTCCCTCACCGCATACGCCGGACGGCTGTCAATGTCCAGGGGCGGAGGGGTCGTACCCCAGGGGACGGCATCCACCAGAGGACCAGGAACCACCGGCCTGAGGAGAGACACATGAAAAGTGGGTGAGATACGGTAGTGAGGGGGAAGGAGCAGCCAGTACGATACCTCATTTATCCGTCGGAGGACCTTAAACGGCCCCACAAACCGGGGGCTCAGTTTCTTGCAGGGAAGGCGGAGAGGGAGGTTTTTAGTGGACAGCCAGACACGATCACCAGGCTGTAATACGGGGGCCTCACTGCGGTGGTGGTTGGCTTGGTCCTTTTGCCGACGAATGGCCCTCTGGAGATGGACATGGGCAGCGTCCCAGACCTGTGGAACCCCTCGACGACAGCGGGCGCATCGGTCTAGCTGGGAGTCCAAGGGGCCAGGGTCGGCTGGTACCCCAGGACGCACAGGAAGGGAGTGAGCCCTGTGGAGGAGTGAACGAGGGAGTTCTGGGCATATTCTGTCCAGGGAAGAAACCTCGCCCACTCGCCTTCCAGACTCGGGAGGTGAATTGGGGGCCACGGTCCGAGACGATGTCCTCCGGAAATCTATAATGCCGGAAGACCTGTTGGAACAGGACCTTAGCGACCTGGAGAGCAGAAGGAAGACCAGTTAGTGGCAAAAAACGGCATGATTTGGAGAACCGATCTACGACCACCAGGACTGTGGTGAAGCCGATAAAACATGGGAGGTCGGTGACAAAGTCTACGGACAGGTGTGACCAAGGTCGCTGAGGCACTGGGAGAGGTTCTAGTTTGCCTGCCGGGGCGTTCCGAGGTGTCTTCGTTTGGCCCCATACGGAACAGGAGTTGATATAGCGGGAGACATCAGTAGCCAAGGTGGGCCACAAGTATTTTTGTGAGAGAGAATGTAGGGTACGCGTAATACCGGAGTGCCCTGCCGTAAGGGTGGTGTGCGCCTGGTTCAGCAGGCGGTCATGGACCCTGGTGGGTACATACACGCACCCCGGAGGGGCGTTGGCAGGCGCTGGGTCCTCCTGAGCCGCCGGGCGGATGTCTTAGTCCACATCCCAAACGACAGGTGCCACGATGAGAGACGGGGGCAGGATAGGACCCCCCAGATCCTTCCTTTCTCCCGTATGGTGCATCTTGGAGAGTGCGTCGGCTTTCACATTCTGGGATCCTGGGCGGTAGGACAGAATAAACTGAAAGCGAGTACGAAATTGGGCCCACCTGGCTTGACGAGAGTTCATCCGTTTCGCTGCCAGTTGTGCTCCAAATTCCGGTGGTCAGTGAGAATCCGGAATGGATGGACTGCACCCTCCAGCCAGTGTCTCCATTCCTCCAGAGCGAGGACCACCACCAACAGCTCCCTGTCTCCAACTCCATAGTTCCTCTCTGTGGGGGTAAGCTTTTTCGAGAAAAAGGCACAGGGATACATTTTTTAATAATAATATAATATATAACATTTTCTCTGGCTTACCTTGCCACTGGGAGAGTACCCCACCCACGCCCTCCTCAGATGCGTCCACCTCCAGGATGAAAGGACAAGCTGGATCTGGGTGTTTTAGGAGGGGTGCTGTGGTGAACCTCTCCTTCAGCCTCTTGAAGGCAGCGTCAGCCTCAGGGTTCGAGGCCAGCTTCTGAGGCCCACCGTTAAGGAGAGAGCTGAAGGACCTGATGAAACGCCGGTAGAAATTTGTGAAGCCCAGGAAGCTCTGTAGGCCCTTGATGGTGATGGGGACTGGCCATGACCTGACGACGTCCGTCTTCGCTCTTTCCATGAACACCCCCTGGGGACTGATCCTGTATCCCTGGAAGGAGATGGCCTGTTGGTGGAAGTCGCATTTCTTCCCCTTCACCAACAGGCTGTGTTCCCGGAGGCGGAGTAGGACCGCTCTGACGTCCCTGACGTGCTCCTCGAACGTAGCCGAGTAGATCAGGATATTGTCGATGTACACCACCACCTGTCTACTCAGCATGTCTCGGAACACGTCATTGACTAAAGACTGGAACACGGAAGGTGCGTTGGCGAGGCCGTAGGGCATGACGCAGTATTCATAGCGGCCTGAGGTAGTGCTGAATGCCGTCTTCCACTCGTCTCCTTCCCGGATTCGGATCAGGTTGTAGGCACTCCTCAGGTCCAACTTGGTAAATTACAGGGCCCCTCGCAGCTGCTTGATGGCCGACGGAACCAGAGGGAGGGGGTACCGGTACTTGGTGGTGACTGCGTTCAGCCCCCGGTAGTCAATGCACGGCATCAGTCCTCCGTCTTTTTGGCCACGAAGAAGAAGCTGGTGAAGGCAGGAGAGGTAGAGCGTCTGATGAACCCCTGTTTCAGGGTCTCTGCCACATACTTCTCCATGGCCTCAGTCTCCCGCTATGGAGAGGGAGTAAATGCGACTCTTCGGGGGGTGTTGTCCCTCCAGCAGGTCAATGGCGCAGTCCCAGGGCCTGTGAGGAGGGAGACACTTAGCCTTGGAGGCAGAGAAGACATCGGAGAGATCTGCGTACTCACGTGGAATGTTGGGCAGGAAGGCGGACTCTGGACTCTCCACTGACGTGGAACAACAAACCACCGGCAGGCAGGTCCTCCGGCATGAGGGGGACCAGGCTGTGATCCTCTTGGTGATCCAATTGATGGTGGGGTTGTGTAGTCTGAGCCAGGGCAATCCCAAGACGATCCGGTGAAGGGGTGACGTGACGATGTGGAAGGACAGCTTCTCGTGGTGCTCCGGTAGTGTGGGAATGGTGATGGTGATGGGAAGAGTGACGTGCGTAATGGTGCCTGATCCAAGTGGTTTATTGTCCAGCGAGGTGACGTGTAGCGGAGAAGGCAGTGGCACGCTGGGCAACCCCCATTCAGAGACCAGCTCCCTATCTATAAGGTTTCCCGCTGATCCGGAATCTATCTTTGCTGTGGAAATCGAAGAGAAGGAAGAACCATTCACTGTTAAGGGAACTAAAAACAATGGTTTGGTGACAGGTGATGACGGAACACTCATGGAGTGGCGACAGGAGTCATACCGCCTAGATAGGGAGCCACCAGGAGATCTGTGGTCCATGGGGGTGTAGGGGGTGCTGTCCACCTCCATGGGTGAGGCAGGGCGGCTTCCATAGCTCAGATGGGGTGAGCGTCGAGGCTCCGGGAGGTGTGGGGAACGCCGTCGGTCTCTCAACATGTCGTCAAGACGAATGGATGTGGCGATGAGGGTATCAAGGTCCATCTTGTTGTCCTGACATGCGAGTTTCATTGTGATGTCCTCCCGTAAGCCTCTCCTGAAGGCCGTGCGCAGAGCACGCTCATTCCAGCTGGAAGACGCCGCCACCGTGCGAAAGCTCAGGGCGTACTCGAACGCGGCGTACTCGAACGCGGCCCCCTCTCCCTTTCCCTCCGTGGGATGATCGAAACACCGCCCTGAACCGAGCGAGGAAGGTGGAGCAGGGAAGCGCCGCGGCCTCACCTCCTTCCCAGACTTCCGTGGCCCAATCCAGCGCCTTTCCATTCAGTAGCAAAATCACCAGTGCTATCCTGGCTTGGTCCGATGGAGATCCCCCACGCTGACATGCCAGATACAGTGAAACCTGTAGCAGGAAGCCTCTACATTTCGTCATTATCCCGTCATAGCGCTCCGGCAGGGCGAGAGGTCTCTCAGACGTTGATGATAGCACGGGAGGAGGTGGACTGGGTGCACTCGCCGCTCCCTGAGGTGGAACCGGAGTGATGGTCAGTTTATGCAGCGTTTTGAGCACTTCCTGCATGGCGGCGTTCAGCTGGGCAATCTACTGCTGGTGCTGGTCGAGGTGCTGGGAAACTCCAGGAGGATTACCTGCTGCATCCATCTTCGTGATTGGTGTGTGATTCTGTGACGAGTACTGCGTTGGGTAGACCGGCGAATCAGAGCACCGTCCTCAAAGCATGTGCAGACCAGCTGGCTAGTGGACATATTCAATCTCACCCTATCCCAGTCCGCTGTCCCCACGTGCTTCAAGATGTCCACCATTGTTCCTGTACCCAAGAAAGCAAAGGTAACTACAAAATCAATAAAAATAAAAAAGATATTGTAAAGTGGTTGTCCCACTGGCTATCATAAGGTGAATGCACCAATTTGTAAGTCGCTCTGGATAAGAGCGTCTGCTAAATGACGTAAATGTAAATGTAATGTAATGTAACTGAACTAAACGACTATCGCCCCGTGGCACTCAATTCTGCCACCATGAAGAGCTTTGAGAGGCTAGTTAAGGATCCTATCACCTCCACCTTACCTGACACCCTAGACCCAATTCAATTTGCATACCGCACCAATAGATCCACAGACGATGGAATTGCCATCGCACTGCACACTGCCTTATCCCATCTGGACTAGAGGAGTACCTACGTAAGAATGCTGTTCATTGACTACAGCTCATCCTTCAACACCATAGTGCCCTCCAAGCTCATCATTAAGCTCGGGGCCCTGGGTCGGAACCCCGCCCTGTGCAACTGGGTCCTGGACTTCCTGACGGGCCGCCCCCAGGTGGTGAAGGTAGGAAACAACACCTCCACTACACTGATCCTCAACACAGGGGCCCCACAAGGGTGCGTGCTCAGCCTCCTCCTGTACTCCCTGTTCACCCATGACTGTGTGGCAATGCATGCCTCCAACTCAATCATCAAGTTTGCAGACGACACAACAGTAGTAGGCCTGATTACCAAGAATGACGAGACAGCTTACAGGGAGGAGGTGAGGGCCCTGGTGGAGTGATGCCAGGAAAATAACCTCCTCCCTCAACGTCAACAAAACGAAGGAGCTGATCGTGGACTTCAGGAGACAGCAGAGGGAGTATGCCCCCATCCACATCAATGGGACCGCCGTGGAGAAGGTAAAAAAGCTTAAAGTTTCAGAAATACCTTATTTACATAAGTATTCAGACCCTTTGCTATGAGACTTGAAATTGAGCTCAGGTGCATCCTGTTTCCATTGATCATCCTTGAGATGTTTCTACAACTTGATTGGAGTCCACCTGTGGTAAATTAAATTGATTGGACATGATTTGGAAAGGCACACACCTGTCTATGTAAGGTCCCACAGCTGACAGTGCATGTCAGAGCAAAAACCAAGCCATGAGGTCGAAGGAATTGTCCGTAGAGCTCCGAGACAGGATTGTGTCGAGGCACAGATCTGGGGAAGGGTACCAAAAAATGCTTGAAACATTGAAGGTCCCCAAGAACCCGATGGCCACTCTGACAGAGCTCCAGAGTTCCTCTGTAGAGATGAGAGAACCTTCCAGAAGGACAACCATGTATACAGCACTCCACCAATCAGGCCTTTATGGTAGAGTGGTCAGACGGAAGCCACTCCTCAGTAAAAGGCACAAGACAGCCCGCTTGGAGTTTGCCAAAAGGCACCTAAAGAATCTCAGACCATGAGAAACAAGATTCTCTGGTCTGATGAAACCAAGATTGAACTGGTTGGCCTGAAAACCTGCTCCAGAGCGCTCAGGACCTCAGACTGGGGCGAAGGTTCACCTTCCAACAGGACAATGGCCCTAAGCACACAGCCAAGACAATGCAAGAATGGCTTCGGGACAAGTCCCTGAATGTCCTTGAGTGGCCCAGCCAGAGCCGGGACTTGAACCCGATCATACATCTCTGGAGAGACCTGAAAATAGCTGTGCAGCGACACTCCCCATCCAACCTGACAGAGCTTGAGAGGATCTGCAGAGAAGAATGGGAGAAACTCCCCAAATACAGGTGTGCCAAGTTTGTAGCGTCATACCCAAGAAGACTCGAGGCTGTAATCACTGCCAAAGGTGCTTTAACAAAGTACTGAGTAAAGGGTCTGAATACTTATGTAAATGTGATATTTCCGTTTTTTTCTATTTTTATACATTTGCAAAAATGTATAAACACCTGTTTTTGCTTTGTCATTATGGGGTATTGTGTGTAGATTGATGAGGGGAAAAAAACAATTTAATCAATTTTAGAATAAGGCTGTAACGTAACACAATTAGGAAAAAGTCAAGGGGTCTGAATACTTTCCGAATGCATTGTATATATACAGTACCAGTCAAAAGACACACCTACTCATTCCAGGGTTTTTCTTTATTTTTTACTATTTTCTACATTGTAGAATAATATTGAAGACATCAAAACTATGAAATAACACATATGGAATCATGCAGTAACCAAAAAAGTGTTAATCAAATCAAAATATATGTTATATTTGAGATTCTTCAAAGTAGCCACCCTTTACCTTGATGAGAGCTTTGCACATTCTTGGCATTCACTCAACCAGCTTCATGAGGAATGCTTTTCAAACAGTCTTGAAGGAGTTCCCACATATGCTGAGCACTTGTTGGCTGCTTTTCCTTCACTCTGCAGTCCAACTCATCCCAAACCATCTCAATTGGGTTGAGCTCGGATGATTGTGGAGGCCAGCTCATCAGATGCAGCACTCCATCACTCTCCTTCTTTGTCAAATAGCCCTTACACAGCCTGGAGGTGTGTTTTGGGTCATTGTCCGGTTGAAAAACAAATAATAGTCCCACTAAGCGCAAACCAGATGGGATGGCGTATCGCTGCAGAATGCTGTGGTAGCCATGCTGGTTAAGTGTGTCTTGAATTCTAAATAAATCACTGACAGTGTCACCAGCAACACACCCCCACACCATCACACCTCCTCCTCCATGCTTCACGGTGGGAACTACACATGCGGAGATCATCCGTTCACCTACTCTGCGTCTCACAAAGACACGGCGGTTGGAACCAAAAATCTCACATTTGGACTCCAGACCAATGGACACATTTCCAGTGGTCTAATGTCCATTGCTTGTTTTTCTTGGCCCAAGCAAGTCTCTTCTTCTTATTGGTGTCCTTTAGTAGTGGTTTCTTTGCAGCAAAACGACCATGAAGGCCTGATTCACGCATTCTCCTCTGAACAGATGATGTTGAGATGTGTCTGTTACTTGACCTCTGGGCTGCAATCTGAGGTGCAGTTAACTCTAATGAACTTATCCTCTGCAGCAGAAGTAACTCTGGGTCTTCCTTTCCTGTGGCGGTCCTCATGAAAGCCAGTTTCATCATAGTGCTTGATGGTTTTTGCGACTGCACTTGAAGAAACTTTCAAAGTTCTTGAAATGTTCCGGATTGACTGACCTTCATGTCTTAAAGTAATGATGGACTGTCGTTTCTCTTTGCTTATTTGAGCTGTTCTTGCCATAATATGGACTTGGTCTTTTACCAAATAGGGCTATCTTCTGTATACCACCCCTACCTTGTCACAACACAACTGATTGGCTCAAACGCATTAAGGAGGAAAGAAATTCCACAAATGAATTGAAATGCATTCCAGGTGACTACCTCATGAAGCTGGTTGAGAGAATGCCAAGAGTGTGCAAAGCTGTCATCAAGGCAAAGGGTGGCTACTTTGAAGAATCTCAAATATAAAATATATTTTGATTTGTTACTACATGATTCCATATGTGTTTTTCCATCGTTGTGATGTCTTCACTATTATTCTACAAAGTAGAAAATAGTAATAATAAAGAAAAACCTTGGAATGAGTAGGTGTGTCCATACTTTTGACTGGTACTGTATATATACACACACACACACACACATTTATATATATATATATATATATATATATATATATATATATATATATATACATACATACAAATATATATACATATATATAGACTCTGACATTGCTCGTCCTAATATTGATATATTTCTTAATTCCATTCTTTTTCCTTTTAGATCTGTGTTGGTGTGAATTGTTAGACATTACTGGAGCTACAGTGGGAACACAAGCAATAACATCTGCTAAATATGTCTGTGGGACCAATACATTTAGATTTCATTTGAATAAAATGTGTTTTGATTTGATTTAAACTAGGCCAATGGGCACTAGGTCACTGAACTTTTGTTCTGAAAAGTCACTGAAAACCTTTTGATCACTGTTTGATCAAGCCCACCTGTGGCAGTAGCTCTGCTTGACCAGTGGACTATGGACAGACTTATCTCATGGTGCATGGTGCAATGACCACTGAAACCCTCAGTCCCTCTCTGTCCCAGTCATGGGGGAGGGTTTTTAACTCCAAATGTGGATGTTATTTCTATCCATTTCTATTCTACAAGGGCTAGGCCTTGCTACAGGGGCTACAGCAATAACTTGTCACGTCCGTTGTGTAAAGGATCGGACCAAGGTGCAGCGTGGTTTGCGTACATAGTCGTTTATTCTAATAAAACACAGACAAAATAACAAAATCCAACAGAACGTGAAGTTCAAGAGGCTACACATACAACAAGCCAAACAGTAATAGAAACAAGATCCCGCAACTAAAGGTAGGCAAAATGGCTGCCTAAGTATGATCCCCAATCAGAGACAACGATCGACAGCTGCCTCTGATTGGGAACCACACCCGGCCAACATAGAAATAGATAAACTAGATATGTCAACATTCACACCCTGACCAAACTAACTGGAGAATAACAGGTTCTCAAGGTCAGGACGTGACATAACTGGAGAAGGGGGTACAGTAATAACTGTGGAGAAGGGTAACACTAATAACTGTGGAGAAGGGGGTACAGTAATAACTGTGGAGAAGGGGGTACACTAATAACTGGAGAAGGGTGTACACTAATAACTGTGGAGAAGGGGGTATAGTAATAACTGTGGAGAAGGGGGTACACTAATAACTGTGGAGAAGGGGGTATAGTAATAACTGTGGAGAAGGGTAACACTAATAACTGGAGAAGGGGGTACAGTAATAACTGTGGAGAAGGGGGTACAGTAATAACTGTGGAGAAGGGTAACACTAATAACTGTGGAGAAGGGGGTATAGTAATAACTGTGGAGAAGGGGGTATAGTAATAACTGTGGAGAAGGGTGTACACTAATAACTGTGGAGAAGGGGTATAGTAATAACTGTGGAGAAGGGGGTACAGTAATAACTGTGGAGAAGGGTGTACACTAATAACTGTGGAGAAAGGTAACACTAATAACTGTGGAGAAGGGGGTATAGTAATAACTGTGGAGAAGGGGGTATAGTAATAACTGTGGAGAAGGGGGTACACTAATAACTGTGGAGAAGGGTGTACACTAATAACTGTGGAGAAGGGGGTATAGTAATAACTGTGGAGAAGGGGGTACAGTAATAACTGTGGAGAAGGGTGTACACTAATAACTGTGGAGAAGGGTAACACTAATAACTGTGGAGAAGGGGGTACAGTAATAACTGTGGAGAAGGGGGTTATAGTAATAACTGTGGGAGAGGGTGTACACTAATAACTGTGGAGAAGGGGGTATATGTAATAACTGTGGAGAAGGGTAACACTAATAACTGTGGAGAAGGTTGAGGGGTAGATAACTGTGGAGAAGGGTAACACTAATACTGTGAGAAGGGTAATAAACTGTGGAGAAGGGGGTAAGTAATAACTGTGGAGAAGGGTACACTAATAACTGTGGAGAAGGGGTATAGTAATAACTGTGGAGAAGGGGGTAAGTAATAACTGTGGAGAAGGGTGTACACTAATACGTGGGAAGGTACACTATACTGTGGAGAAGGGGGTATAGTAATAACTGTGGAGAAGGGGGTACAGTAATAACTGTGGAGAAGGGGTACACTAATAACTGTGGAGAAGGGTTACACTAATAACTGTGGAGAAGGGGGTATAGTAATAACTGTGGAGAAGGGGGTATAGTAATAACTGTGGAGAAGGGGTACACTAATAACTGTGGAGAAGGGTAACACTAATAACTGTGGAGAAGGGGGTATAGTAATAACTGTGGAGAAGGGGGTACAGTAATAACTGTGGAGAAGGGTGTACACTAATAACTGTGGAGAAGGGAACGTATAGTAATAACTGTGGAGAAGGGTAACCTATATGTGGAAGGGGGTACAGTAATAACTGTGGAGAAGGGGGTATAGTAATAACTGTGGAGAAGGGTGTACACTAATAACTGTGGAGAAGGGGGTATAGTAATAACTGTGGAGAAGGGGTAACACTAATAACTGTGGAGAAGAGGTAACACTAATAACTGTGGAGAAGGGGGTATAGTAATAACTGTGGAGAAGATACGGAGAATGGTACACTAATAACTGTGGAGAAGGGGGTATAGTAATAACTGTGGAAGGATAATTGGGAGGGTACACTAATAACTGTGGAGAAAGGTAACACTAATAACTGTGGAGAAGGGGGTATAGTAATAACTGTGGAGAAGGATAACTGTGGAGAAGGGTAACACTAATAACTGTGGAGAAGGGGGTATAGTAATAACTGTGGAGAAGGATAACTGTGGAGAAGGGTAACACTAATAACTGTGGAGAAAGGTAACACTAATAAATGTGGAGAAGGGGGTATAGTAATAACTGTGGAGAAGGATAACTGTGGAGAAGGGTTACACTAATAACTGTGGAGAAGGGTGTACATAATAACTGTGGAGAAGGGGGTTGTATATGGAAGGTGTACACATAACTGTGGAGAAGGTACTATACTGTGGAGAAGGGTAACACTAATAACTGTGGAGAAGGTAACACTAATAAATGTGGAGAAGGGGGTATAGTAAAACTGTGGAGAAGGGGTACAGTAATAACTGGAGAAGGGTGTACACTAATAACTGTGGAGAAGGGTGTACAGTAATAACTGTGGAGAAGGGGGTACACTAATAACTGTGGAGAAGGGTGTACACTAATAACTGTGGAGAAGGGTGTACACTAATAACTGTGGAGAAGGGTAACACTAATAACTGTGGAGAAGGGTAACACTAATAACGGTGGAGAAGGGTATACAGTAATAACTGTGGAGAAGGGGTACAGTAATAACTGTGGAGAAGGGGTACAGTAATAACTGTGGAGAAGGGTGTACATAATAACGTGGAGAAGGTGTACACTAATAACTGTGGAGAAGGGTGTAATAATAACTGGAGAAGGGTGTAACACTAATAACTGTGAGAAGGGGTACAGTAAACTGTGGAGAAGGGGTAACATAATAACTGTGGAGAAGGGGGTACACTAATAACTGTGGAGAAGGGTGTACAGTAATAACTGTGGAGAAGGGGGTACAGTAATAACTGTGGAGAAGGGTGTACACTAATAACTGTGGAGAAAGGTAACACTAATAACTGTGGAGAAGGGGGTATAGTAATAACTGTGGAGAAGGGTAACACTAATAACTGTGGAGAAGGGGGTATAGTAATAACTGTGGAGAAGGGTAACACTAATAACTGTGGAGAAGGGGGTACAGTAATAACTGTGGAGAAGGGTGTACACTAATAACTGTGGAGAAGGGGTACAGTAATAACTGTGGAGAAGGGTGTACACTAATAACTGTGGAGAAGGGTGTACAGTAATAACTGTGGAGAAGGTGGTATAGTAATAACGAGCTGTGAGAAGGGTAACACCAATAACTGTGGAGAAGGGGTACATTAATAACTGTGGAGAAGGGTAACACTAATAACTGTGGAGAAGGGGTACATAATAACTGTGGAGAAGGGTGTACATAATAACTGTGGAGAAGGGGTACAGTAATAACTGGAGAAGGGGTACACTAATAACTGTGGAGAAGGGGTACAGTAATAACTGTGGAGAAGTGTGTATAGTAATAACTGGAGAAGGGTGTACACAATAACTGTGGAGAAGGGTGTACACTAATAACTGTGGAGAAGGGTAACACTAATAACTGTGGAGAAGGGTAACACTAATAACGTGGAGAAGGGGTACAGTAATAACTGTGGAGAAGGGTACAGTAATAACTGTGGAGAAGGGGTACACTAATAACTGTGGAGAAGGGTGTACAGTAATAACTGGGAGAAGGGGGTACAGTAATAACTGTGGAGAAGGGTTGTAACTAATAACTGTGGAGAAAGGTAACAACTAATAACTTTGGAGAAGGGGTGTTATAGTCATTAACCTGGGGAAGAAGGATAACTGTGGAGAAGGGTAACACCTAATAACTGTTGGAGAAGGGGGTACAGAATAACTGTGGGAGAAGGGTAACACTAATAACTGTGGGAGAGGGGGTACAGTAATAAACTGTGGAGAAAGGGTGTACACTAATAACTGTGGAGAAGGGTGTACAGTAATAACTGGAGAAGGGTGTACACTAATAACTGTGGAGAAGGGTGTACAGTAATAACTGTGGAGAAGTGTGTATAGTAATAACTGGAGAAGGGTGTACACCAATAACTGTGGAGAAGGGTGTACACTAATAACTGTGGAGAAGGGTAACACTAATAACTGTGGAGAAGGGTAACACTAATAACGGTGGAGAAGGGAATACAGTAATAACTGTGGAGAAGGGGGTAGAGTAATAACTGGAGAAGGGTGTACACTAATAACTGTGGAGAAGGGTGTACAGTAATAACTGGAGAAGGGTGTACACTAATAACTGTAGAGAAGGGTGTACACTAATAACTGGAGAAGGGTGTACACAATAACTGTGGAGAAGGTGTACATAATAACTGTGGAGAAGGGTACACTAATAACTGTGGAGAAGGTGTACACTAATAACGTGGGAAAGGGATACAGTAATAACTGTGGAGAAGGGGTACAGTAATAACTGGGAGAAGGGGTACACTAATAACTGTGGAGAAGGGGTACAGTAATAACTGGAGAAGGGTGTACACTAATCAACTGTAGAGGTTTGTCACTATAACTGAAATAAACTAGATTCTTGGAGAGGGTGACAGGAATACTGGGAGATGCAGGACGAAAAACAAAGCTCATTATAACGTGCAAGGCTTACAGTAATAACTGCGCAGAGGGATATCTTTCCTGTGACAATCCGCTGGTCAATCAGTAATACTCACGTCCGCCTGTACAGCACAACTAACTGGAGACGGTGACAGCGTCTGTGAGAAGGTGGTCCTCATACTGCAGCTATGCTCCAGGACCGCTTTGCTAAACGCTGACTGGAATATGTTCCGGGACTCCGCCGACGAAGGTTCACTGCTTCCCCAATCAAAAGCCCTGGATTAAAAACACAGAGGTTGGCACTAAACTAAAGGACAGTGCTACCGCACACAGGGATACCGTAGCCAACCCTGCTACGGCTGAGTACGCAAACAAGTAAAATAAGTCCTGCTACGACCTCTGCGGAGCCATCAAACAAGCAAAAGGACAATATAGGAACAAGGTGCAATCCTATTACACAGGCTCGGATACCTACATGTGGCAGGGGCTATAGTCCGTTACGGATTACAAACAGCATTCTGCCCAACGATGCCTCCCTACCAGATGAACTCAGTGGATTTTATGCAGGCCTCGATAAAAACAACACCGAGCCATGCATGGGGGGTCCTCGCTGACCCAGGGGACTCTGTGATCTCGCTCTCCGAGGCTGACGTGAGCAGGTATATTCACTCTCCTTGTCCCAGTCTGTAATGCCCACGTCTCAAGCTGACCGCCCTGTAGCACTGACATCTGTAATCGTGAAGCGCTTTGAAAGGCTGGTTATGGCACACATCAACTCCTTCATCCCGGACACTCTAGGCCCACTCCAATTTGCATACCGCCCAAACAGATCCATAGATGACACAATCTTAATTGCACTCCACACTGCCTTCACCCGCCTAGATAAGAGGAACACCTAGAATGCATTCCGAAAGTATTCAGACCCCTTGACTTTTTCCACATTTTGTTACGTTACAGACTTATTCTAAAATTGATTAAATAGTTTTTTCCCCTCATCAATCTACGCACAATACCCCGTAATGACAAAGCAAAAACAGGTTTTTATAAATGCTGGCAAATGTATAAAAGAGACAAATTTAAATATCACATTTACATAAGTATTCAGACCCTTTACTCAGTACATTGTTGAAGCACCTTTGGCAGCGATTACAGCCTCGAGTCTTCATGGGTATGACGCTACAAGCTTGGCACACCTGTATTTGGGGAGTTTCTCCCATTCTTCTCTGCAGATCCTCTCAAGCTCTGTCAGGTTGGATGGGGAGCGTCACTGCAGAGCTATTTTCAGGTCTATCCAGAGATGTTAGATCGAGTTCAAGTCCGGGCTCTGGCTGGGCCACTCAAGGACATTCAGAGACTTGTCCCGAAGCCACTCCTGCGTTGTCTTGGCTGTGTGCTTCCTGTTGGAAGGTGAATCTTCACCCCAGTCTGAGGTCCTGAGCGCTCTGGAGCAGGTTTTCATCAAGGATCTCTCTGTACATTGCTCCGTTCATCTTTCCCTCGATCCTGACTAGTCTCCCAGTCCCTGCAGCTGAAAAACATCCCCACAGCATGATGCTGCCACCACCATGCTTCCCCATAGGGATGGTGCCAGGTTTACTCCAGATGTGAAGCTTGGCATTCAGGCAAAATAGTTCAATATTGGTTTTCAGACCAAAGAATCTTGTTTCTCATGGTCTGGGAGTCCTTTAGGTGACTTTTGGCCAACTCCAAGCGGGCTGTCATGTGCCTTTTACTGAGGAGTGGCTTCAATCTGGCCACTCTACCATAAAGGCCTGATTGGTGGAGTGCTGCAGAGATGGTTGGTCTTCTGTAAGGTTCTCCCATCTCCACATAGGAACTCTGGAGCTCTGTCAGAGTGACCATTGGGTTCTTGGTCACCTCCCTGACCAAGGCCCTTCTCCCCCTGATTGCTCAGTTTGTCCGTGCGGCCAGCTCTAGGAAGAGTCTTGGTGGTTACAAACTTCTTCCATTTAAGAATGATGGAGGCCACTGTGTTCTTGGGGACCTTCAATGCTGCAGACATTTTTTGGTACCCTTCTCCAGATCTGTGCCTCGACACAATCCTGTCTCGGAGCTCTACGGACAATTTCTTCGACCTCATGGCTTGGTTTTTGCTCTGACAACTGTAGGACCTTATATAGAAAGGTGTGTGCCTTTCCAAATCATGTCCAATCAATTGAATTTACCACAGGTGGACTCCAATCAAGTTGTAGAAACATCTCAAGGATGATCAATGGAAACAGGATGCACCTGAGCTCAATTTCGAGTCTCATACCAAAGGGTCTGAATACTTATGTAACCTTATGTAAGGTTTTTCTGTTTTTAATTTTTTTTAAACCTGTTTTCACTTTGTCATTATGGGATATTGTTTGTAGATTGATGAGGAAAAAAATGTAATCCATTTTAGAATAAGGCCGTAACGTAACAAAATGTGGAAAAAGGGAAGGGATCTGAATACTTTCCGAATTCACTGTATAAATATAAACGCAACATGCTACAACTTCTAAGATTGTACTGAGTTAGAGTTCATATAAGGAAATCAATTCATTAGGCCCTAATCTATTGATTTCACATGACTGGGAATAGAGATACGCATCTGTTGGTCAGAGATACCTCGGTTGGTCAGAGATACCTCGGTTGGTCAGAGATACCTCGGTTGGTCAGAGATACCTCGGTTGGTCAGAGATACCTCGGTTGGTCAGAGATACCTCGGTTGGTCAGAGATACCTCGGTTGGTCAGAGATACCTCGGTTGGTCAGAGATACCTCGGTTGGTCAGAGATACCTTAAAAAGGGCATCCCGAGTGGCGCCGTGGTCTAGAGATCCTGGTTCCAGTCCGGGCTCTGTTGCACGCGACCGGGGGACCCACGGGGCCGTCTCCGGCATGGGGGTTACATGTGTGCTGGTGTTGGCAGTGTTTTAGTTTTTATATATTTTACATTTTTTAGGGGGTAGATCAGCTTTAATATTGCAATGTAATTGTCTGCATCACTTCCAATCCCCCATATGTTTTTTTTCTCTCGCAAATATATATACATATACATACACATACAGTTGAAGTCGGAAGTTTACATACACGTAGGTTGGAGTCATTAAAACTCGTTAACAAACTACAGTTTTGGCAAGTTGGTTAGGACATCTACTTAGTAATTTTTTCAACAATTGTTTACAGACAGTTTATTTCACTTATAATTGACTGTATCACAATTCCAGTTGGTCAGAAGTTTACATACACTAAGTTGACTGTGCCTTTAAACAGCTTGGAAAATTCCAGGAAATGATGTCATGGCTTTAGAAGCTTCTGATAGGCTAATTGACATCATTTGAGTCAATTGGAGGTGTACTTATGGATGTATTTCAAGGCCTACCTTCAAACTCAGTGCCTCTTTGCTTGACATCATGGGAAAATCAAAAGAAATCATCCAAGACCTCAGAAAAAAAATTGTAGACCTCCACAAGTCTGGTTCATTCTTGGGAGCAATTTCCAAACGCCTGAAGGTACCACGTTCATCTGTACAAACAATAGTACGCAAGTATAAACACCATGGGACCACGCAGCCTTCATACCGCTCAGGAAGGAGACACGTTCTGTCTCCTAGAGATGAACGTACTTTGGTGCGAAAAGTGCAAATTAATCCCAGAACAACAGCAAAGGACCTTGTGAAGATGCTGGAGGAAACCGGTACAAAAGGATCTATATCCACAGTAAAACAAGTCCTATATCGACATAACCTGAAAGGCCGCTCAGCAAGGAAGAAGCCACTGCTCCAAAAACCGCCATAAAAAAGCCAGACTACGGTTTGCAACTGCACATGGGGACAAAGATCGTACTTTTAGGAGAAATGTCCTCTGGTCTGATGAAACAAAAATATAACTGTTTGGCCATAATGACCATCGTTATGTTTGGAGGAAAAAGGCGGACCTTGCAAGCCGAAGAACACCATCCTAACCGTGAAGCATGGGGGTGGCAGCATCATGCTGTGGGGGTGCTTTGCTGCAGGAGGGACTGGTGCACTTCACAAAATAGATGGCATCATGAGGAAGGAAAATTATGTGGATATATTGAAGCAACATCTCAAGACATCAGTCAGGAAGTTAAAGCTTGGTCGCAAATGGGTCTTCCAAATGGACAATGACCCCTAGCATACTTCCAAAGTTGTGGCAAAATGGCTTAAGGACAACAAAGTCAAGGTATTGGAGTGGCCATCACAAAGCCCTGACCTCAATCCTATAGAAAATGTGTGGGTGTGACGAGGTGTGAAAGAAGGAGTCAGGCGCAGGAGGTAAAACACAGAAGTCCAGAGTTTATTCCGTTTGCATAAATCAAACGCCCCAAGCGTCAAACGAAACTGTACAAGGGAAAACATCCACCTTGGCAATAACACAGTGAAATGTAGATCAACCGAGCTACACGCTCTCACAACAAAACAATCACTCACAAAGACAAGGGGAACAGAGGGAACACTTATACACATACTAATTAGGGGAATGAGCCCAGGTGTGTGTGATTGACAAGACATGACAAGTGGAGTGATGAGAATGGGATCGGCAGTAGCTAGTACTCCGGTGACGACAAACGCCGAAGCCTGCCCGAACCAGGAGGGGGGGCAGCCTCGGCGGAAGTCGTGACAGTGGGCAGAACTGAAAAGCGTGTGCGAACAAGGAGGCCTAGAAACCTGACTCAGTTACACCAGCTCTGTCAGGAGGAATGGGCCAAAATTCCCCAACTTATTGTGGGAAGCTTGTGGAATGTTACCCGAAACGTTTGACCCAAGTTAAACAATTTAAAGGCAATGCTACCAAATACTAATTGAGTCTATGTAACCTTCTGACCCACTGGGAATGTGATGAAATAAATAAAAGCTGAAATAAATAATTCTCTCTACTATCATTCTGACATTTCACATTAATAAAATACGTTCCACTGTTCAGACCAGCATAATACAATTCTGAACCGGTATCCCCCAAACTGTGATCTTTCACAAAAGTTCTCAACCTACAGTATATACTTATTATGGACATAGTATGTTTTATATTAGTTATTTTGTTGTTATTAGTTTCACAAAGGTTCTGAACCCTTATATTCTCAGTGTTTCTACAGATTGTAAATTGAAAATAAACATTTTTGCTAAAAGTATTATTATATTATTGATCGATTGACTATGACTTTTCAGATCACCCAGTAGTGCTATCTGCAGGGTTAGCTTCAGCTAAATATTGCAATCCTTCAGCCATTCCTGGACCTGTGACCAAAAACAATCTACAAATGGACAGTACCAAAACAAATGATCTAATGATTCTGTCTCCTCGCAGCAAAATCTGCAGAGCTGGGAAGATTGTATCCCCCATATAAATAACATTCTATTGGTTGCAAGAATTTTATATAATAATTTAAATTGAAAAATTCTAAGTTTTGAATCTGGTGTCGTTTTGCGTATCAGTTCATAAACACTATGCCATGGAATCGGTACGTCAAAGATCTCTTCCCAGCTATTTTGCAATCTATATGGGACGGCTGACGATCCTTTGGTCCTTAAATGAAACTGATATACTTTTTTATTTATCACAGTTTTCCTTAACCAATTATGTTCTTTAATGCAAGGCCGACAGACAAGTTCCTTACTTTCTCCTCCTTCCACTTTCCTCTTCCATTTTTGCAGTAAGGCTGCAATTATTTGGTTGTAATTTTGGGTAGAGCAGACATTTCCATTTGTTTTTGTTAGCTGCATGTGCAACATAACTCCACCAGTCCTACTGATGATATCATTTACAAAAGATTATACCTTTTTTAAACATTTTATCCCCAAAAAATTAATATCAGTTCATAAACCATTTGCCATGGAATCGGTACTAATATAACTCAGCCAAACTCAGGCAAGAGACTGAACATTTGACTTATATACACACTAGCTCCCAAGTACAGTGCCTTGCAAAAGTATTCATCCCCCTTGGTGTTTTTCCTATTTTGTTGCATTACAACCTGTAATTTAAATGGATTTTTATTTGGATTTCATGTAATGGACATACACAAAATAGTCCAAACTGGTGAAGTGAAATGAAATGAACTTGTTTTAAAAAAATTCACACAAAAAAGAACGTTAAAGTGTTGAGTGTATATGTATTCACCCCCTTTGCTATGAAGCTCCTAAATAAGATCTGGTGCAACCAATTACCTTCAAAAGTCACATAATTAGTTCAATAAAGTCCACCTGTGTGCAATCTAAGTGTCACATGATCTCAGTATATATACACCTGTTCTGAAAGGCCCCAGAGTCTGCAACACCACTAAGCAAGGGGCACCACCAAGCAAGCGGCACCATGAAGTCCAAGGAGCTCTCCAAACAGGTCAGGGGCAAAGTTGTGGAGAAGTACAGATCAGGGTTTTGTTATAAAAAAAATATTCGAAACTTTGATCATCCCACGGAGCACCATTAAATCCATTATGAAAAAATGGAAAGAATATGGCACCACAACAAACCTGCCAAGAGAGGGCCACCCACCAAAACTCACGGACCAGGCAAGGAGGGCATTAATCAGAGGCAACAAAGAGACCAAAAATAACCCTGAAGGTGCTGCAAAGCTCCACAGCGGAGATTGGAGTATCTGTCCATAGGACCACTTTAAGACGTACACTCCACAGAGCTGGGCTTTACGGAAGAGTGGCCAGAAAAAAAGCCATTGCTTAATGAAAAAAACAAGCAAACACGTTTGGTGTTCGCCAAAAGGCATGTGGGAGACTCCCCAAACATATGGAAGAAGGTACTCTGGTCAAATGAGACTAAAATTGAGCCTTTTGGCCATCAAGGAAAACGCTATGTCTGGCGCAAACCCAACACTTCTCATCACCCCGAGAACACCATCCCCACAGTGAAGCATGGTGGTGGCAGCATCATGCTGTGGGGATGTTTTTCATCGGCAGGGACTGGGAAACTGGTCAGAATTGAAGGAATGATGGATGGCGCTAAATACAGGGAAATTCTTGAGGGAAACCTGTTTCAGTCTTCCAGAGATTTGAGACTGGGGTGGAGGTTCACCTTCCAGCAGGACAATGACCCTAAGCATACTGCTAAAGCAACACTCAAGTGGTTTAAGGGGAAACAGTTAAATGTCTTGGAAAGCCCAGACCTCAATCCAATTGAGAATCTGTGGTGACTTAAAGATTGCTGTACACCAGCGGAACCCATCCAACTTGAAGGAGCTGGAGCAGTTTTGCCTTGAAGAATGGGCCAAAATCCCAGTGGCTAGATGTGCCAAGTTTATAGAGACATACCCCAAGATACTTGCAGCTTTAATTGCTGCAAAAGGTGGCTCTACAAAGTATTGACTTTGGGGGGGGGGGGGGGGGGGGTGAATAGTTATGCACGTTCAAGTTTTCTGTTTTTTTGTCTTATTTCTTGTTTGTTTCACAATAAAACATATTTTGCATCTTCAAAGTGGTAGGCATGTTGTGTAAATCAAATGATACAAATCCCCAAAAAATCAATTTTAATACTAGGTTGTAAGGCAACTGTGACGAGGTGAAATGAAGGAGTCAGGTGCAGGAGGTCAAATACCGAAGTCCAGAGTTTAATGCGTTCACATATATCAAACGCCCCAAGCATCAAAAGGAACAAGCTCAAGGGAAACACATCCACCTTGGTATAAATACAATGTTGAGTTGCTCAACCGAGCTAACATGCTCTCACAATAAACAATCACTCACAAAGACAAGGGGAACAGAGGGAACACTTATACACATACTAATTAGGGGAATGAGCACCAGGTGTGTGTGATTGACAAGACATGACAAGTGGAGTGATGAGAATGAGATCGGCAGTAGCTAGTACTCCGGTGACGACGAACGCCGAAGCCTGCCCGAACAAGGAGGAGGGGCAGCCTCGTTGGACATCGTAACAGCAATAAAATAGGAAAAATGCCAAGGGGGGTGAATACTTTCGCAAGCCACTGTATATACACAAAGGTATGTGGACACCCCTTCAAATTAGTGGATTCGGGCTTCCGGTTGAGCATGTGAATGGAGAAGAAGCTCGTGGACGAGGCTCCTACTCATTAGTTAATTTTGCCACATTTTTACTTTGCATTCCACTTTCTTACATATCAGATTTGATTGTTGAGTTTGTAAGTTACCTTTTTGATTCAAATGTCACACGATCTGAAGAGCAGAAGACCTGTAACTAATGTTTCAACCCTGTTGGCAAACGTGAATGGTAATGGCGCCGACTCCAGTCCAACCGTTACGGAGTCTCATGCGGTCACACTCCCCCACAGATCTTCAGAACCTCCGTACGGTTCTGATCTCGGAAATTAAAGCTACCATTGTCACTCAGCTCAAAACTGCCATCGATGCTGCTCTGGCCCCCCTTCTCCGCCGTCCTGGATGGTGTCCGAGACGCTGCGGATGAACAAGGCCGCCGACTTGACTGCTTTGAACATGACCCGTGTGACCACAGTGACCGCATAGTAGCCCTTGAGAAAACAGTCGCACGTCTGAGCTCCGAAAACCAAAAGCTGATTGACAAGAACTGGAATCCCGTTCTCGCCGTTGCAATCTTCGGGTTGTTGGTATACCAGAGAAACTTGGAGGGGACTAAGTTGAGTTCATGTCAGACTTCTTTGCGGAGGTCCGGCCAACGTTCCATCACCCCCGAAGCTGGACAGAGCCCACCGCATTGGCCCCTCCCCAACGGGCGGAGACTCCAAGCATAGAGTGTTTATCGTCCATTTTCACTACTTCCAGAGGGCAGAGGCCAAATACACTTCTGCAGTCGAGTGTTGCCAAGAAGAGAGCAAAATTCCTCGATGTGAAATGCAACCTTCATGAGAAGAAAGTGAAATTTCTCACTCCGTTTTCCCTGCTCGTCTCCACGTTGAACATGCCGGGGGGGAAGCTATAGTTCGACACCCGCGAGGACGCCCAGCGTTGGTTTGACAGTCACTTCTGAGCCATATCTTGGATTTATAATGTTGCTTTTGCCAACAACTAGGAAAGTCCAGAAAATGTGACATTGAGTGACGCAGACCTTCAAGAACTTTACCAACTGTCTGTTACAGAGATCCAGGAAGTAAAATGCCCAGGTGCTGACATGATGACCAGCCATGTGGAGGTGATCTATGAGAAGACTAGAACCATGGAAGGTGACATGCAAGCTGACATGGAAGCTATGGTTGAGGATCTCTGCAGTCACTTCCCACAAGTGGACGATGATCATTCTGCAGGTTTTGAATATTGTGATGTGGCAAATGCAGGGGTGGCGAAAAGAGAAGGTCTTGATGTCCATGGAAACGATCAACAACGGGTTCAAAGCTGGAATACAACCGGGATTGACCCTACAGAGAGGATGACGAGCAACCCTCAGGAACATTTTTGACAAACAACATCTGAACAAACAGCCAGACAGTCTCCGCAGTGATCCCAACAGAGACTGTGTTCTTCATGACAACGTGATGGAAGGGTTAGGCAGGGAGCCCATGGAGGCTCGAGACACCCATGTGGTTTCTGAGCGGAAGGGAGAGGGGGTTAGTAAGAGCATAGACACACAGGTGGAGAAGAGTTGTCAGAAAGTTGAAATAAACATCATGGAAGCCACGATGGACTACAATGAATGGATGACTGTAAGTGGCACGGACGCCGAGGTTAAACACTCCCTGGGTGAAGATAAGCTACTCGTCCGTCGAATGCTCTACTGTAGCAGAGCATCATCCCACAGAAACTCGGCGTGATTCACATTATTCAACAATGGCTGACGCACCCACATCAAAGGTCAAAGAAACTGGAACCACACCTGTATCACTAGATGGAGACCTGCAGGGGAATAAGAAGATGGCAGCTGTGCCTCCTATCATACCCCATGCAGTACAGGTGAGGTTCTGCATCCACTACCACACCCAGTCTCCCTGGCAGGAACTGGCTGTGACTGGAAACCAGCCGGAGCTGGGGAGCTGGACGGCCTTCGTTCCAATGGAGAGGGGCCAGGACAGGTTCTGGGCCAGCTGGGTCGCCCTCCCTGCGGAGAGACTGGTGGAGTGGAAGTTTGTGCTGGTGGAGAATGGAGAAATCCATCGCTGGGAGGAGAGCGGGAACAGACACCTGGAAACAGGTCATGGTTGGGGCAGCTTTACAGGCATCCTCCTTTTTCCAAGGTGTAACACAGGAAGGAGTTCAACATAGGTTATCATTATATGCAGGCTGGGTAAGGACTATTTGACCAAGAAGGAGAGTGATGGAGTGCTGCATCAGATGACCTGGCCACCACAATCATCCGACCTCAACCCAGTTGAGATGATTTGGGATGAGTTGGACTGCAGAGTGAAGGAAAAGCAGACAACAAGTGCTCAGCATATGTCACTTTTTCCGTTACCTTCAATTTAGGCTTTGTGTCTCCTCCCAATGTTCTGCCTTCCCTGCTCCACCCCTTTGCCAACCCTATATTACCTCGACAGAAAGGTTGAATTCGGAAGTTTACATATACCATACAACTCAGTTTTTCACAATTCCTGACTTTTAATCCTAGTCAAACTTCCCTGTCTTAGGTCAGTTAGGATCACCACTTTATTTTAAGAATGTGAAATGTCAGAATAATAGTAGAGAGAATGATTTATTTCAGCTTTTTATTTCTTTCATCACATTCCCAGTGGGTCAGAAGTTTACATACACTCAATTAGTATTTGGTAGCATTGCCTTTAAATTGTTTAACTTGGGTCAAACGTTTCGGGTAGCCTTCCACAAGCTTCCCACAATAAGTTGGGTGAATTTTGGCCCATTCCTTCTGACAGAGCTGGTGTAACTGAGTCAGGTTTGTAGGCCTCCTTGCTCGCACACGCTTTTTCAATTCTGCCCACAAATGTTCTACAGCAGGGTTCTTCAATTCCGGTCCTGTTTTTCATCCTCTCCTTCTAATCAGGGGTTGATTCAGACCTGGGACACCAGGTGAATGCAATTAACTACCAGGTAGAAATAAAAAACTGAAGTGTTTCGGCCCTCCAGGACTGGAATTGAAGAACCCTGTTCTATAGGATTGAGGTCAGGGCTTTGTGATGGCCACTCCAATATCTTGACTTTGTTGTCCTTAAGCAACTTTGGAAGTATGCTTGGGGTCATTGTCCATTTGGAAGACCATTTGCGACTAAGCTTTAACTTCCTGACTGATGTTGCTTCAATATATCCACATAATTTTCCTTCCTCATGATGCCATCTATTTTGTGAAGTGCACCAGTCCCTCCTGCAGCAAAGCACCCCCAAGACATGATGCTGCCACCCCCGTACTTCACGTTTGGGATGGTGTTCTTCGGCTTGCAAGGCACCCCCTTTTTTTGGCCGAAAAGTTATATTTTTGTTTCATCAGACCAGAGGACATTTCTCCAAAAAGTATGATCTTTGTCCCCATGTGCAGTTGCAAACCGTAGTCTGGCTTTTTTATGGTGGTTTTGGAGCAGTGGCTTCTTCCTTGCTGAGCGGCCTTTCAGGTTATGTTGATATAGGACTAATTTTACTGTGGATATAGATACTTTTGTACCGGTTTCCTCCAGCATCTTCACAAGGTCCTTTGCTGTTGTTCTGGGAGTGATTTGCACTTTTCGCACCAGAGTACATTCATCTCTAGGAGACAGAACACGTCTCCTTCCTGAGCGGTATGACAGCTGCATGGTCCCATGGTGTTTATACTGGCGTACTATTGTTTGTACAGATGAACGCGGTACCTTGAGACTTTTGGAAATTGCTCCCAAGGATGAACCAGACTTATGGAGGTCTACAATTATTTGTCTGAGGTCTTGGGAAAATCAAAATAAAATCAGCTATGATGTCAAGCAAAGACACACTGAGTTTAAAGGTAGGCCTTGAAATACAGCCACACCTCCAATTGACTCAAATTATGTCAATGTGATACAGTGAATTGTAAGTGAAATAATCTGTTGGGAAAAATTACTTGTGTCATGCACAAAGTAGATGTCCTAACAGACTTGCCAAAACTATAGTTTGTTAACAAATTTGTGGAGTGGTTGAAAAACAGGTTTTAATGACTCCAACCTAAATGTATGTAAACTTCCGACGTCAACTGTACACACAGCTGAAAAGCCGCTTCAACCAATGAGCATCCAGGACCCAAACTACCCGGTTTATCATGCCCTCATACCAAATCCCTTGGAACAGGCTTTGGGATGAATCAGAGTCTGCAAATCCTTTGGGATGCCCACACTAAGAATGAGAGTCTGGCCAGTACTGCATTCCAGGAAAATATGTTTATTATTGGGTAATTGGTCAGAACACTCCTTCACCTAAACATTTAGTACATTAACCACAACGTTGCAATCGTAAGACATTTTATTATAAAAAAAGATTACAACTTAGGAGAACCAAAACACATTATTACAATTGAAGGTAAGTAAACAAAACAATTAAAGTGAGTTAACACGTCAAAACAAAACTAATATTTATGAACACTGATAAATGTATTATCAAAAGGTTCCAAGAGACTGTGTGTGGATGATACATACAAATATAATTCAAGAAGCTAAGATCTGAAGTACGAATATGACATTTAAATTCCAGCGTCACAGTATTTGCATAATAACAATTCACTGACCTATAAATCGGTTGATGCTTGTGAGTACACCATTCTATTTTGGGTAAATACAAACAGCCCATTTCACAAATCACAAGGCAGTCCGAGTAACTACGGTAAAACATGTAAAATACCTGGATAACACTTATTGCTGTGATAATTATTGCTATACTGCCACAGCACAAATACTGCTGGTATAGAAGCCCGAAGTAGTACACAGAGCTGCTCTATTGAAAAAAAGTGAATAAATCATACAATGACAATATCCAAGCTCCATACTATATTGACATTCATCGAACTCTACCCTCGCATAACGTCATTCACTTAACAGATGTGCAACTGGCATAATAGATGTATTGCTATAATCCAGTACATAGAGGGACAGAGTCCTGATCAGATGAATGGGGTTTAACTCCCCTTTTCACAAAGTGTGCACTTCTTTACTTCCTTGTAAAAAGAAAAAGGATTATGTTGGAAACTCCCTATATCCCCAGGCTTAATCAAATGCATGAAGGGGAGAGAATTAGGGCACACTTCAGGGTGAAGGGGAGAGAATTAGGGCACACTTCAGGGTGAAGGGGAGAGAATTAGGGCACACTTCAGGGTGAAGGGGAGAGAATTAGGGCACACTTCAGGGTGAAGGGGAGAGCATTAGGGCACACTTCAGGGTGAAGGGGAGAGAATTAGGGCACACTACAGGGTGAAGGGGAGAGAATTAGGGCACACTACAGGGTGAAGGGGAGAGAATTAGGGCACACTACAGGGTGAAGGGGAGAGAATTGGGATGCAACCAAGTTCTCTATAAACAACGCCTTGCGCCAGTCAGTCCTCTCCCTATGTGAGAGCCACACTGATCCGGTTTCAACAGCCACACCACTTAGAATATATTAGGCATGCATTCTTAGTAGTACGCTGGTGAAGAGAACGACCGCTAGTGCCGTTCACTACCCTCCCCACCGGTCGCTCACTCAGAGGTAGCCCCACCACCTGTTGAGCGTCACCTCTCCACCACCATGACCTGTTTCCAGGTGTCTGTTCCCGCTCTCCTCCCAGCGATGGATTTCTCCATTCTCCACCAGCACGAACTTCCACTCCACCAGTCTCTCCGCAGGGAGGGCGACCCAGCTGGCCCAGAACCCGTCCTGGCCCCTCTCCAGTGGAACGAAGGCCGTCCAGCTCCCCAGCTCCGGCTGGTTTCCAGTCACAGCCAGTTCCTGCCAGGGAGACTGGGTGTGGTAGTGGATGCAGAACCTCACCTGTACTGCATGGGGTATGATAGGAGGCACAGCTGTCATCTTCTTATTCCCCTGCAGGTCTCCATCTAGTGATACAGGTGTGGTTCCAGTTTCTTTGACCTTTGATGCGGGTGCGTCAGCCATTGTTGAATAATGTGAATCACGCCGAGTTTCTGTGGGATGATGCTCTGCAACAGTAGAGCATTCGACGGACGAGTAGATTATCTTCACCCAGGGAGTGTCAGTGTTAAACTCAGCGTCCGTGCCACTTACAGTCATCCATTCATTGTAGTCCATCGTGGCTTCCATGATGTTTATTTCAACTTTCTGACAACTCTTCTCCACCTGTGTGTCTATGCTCGTACTAACCCCCTCTCCCTTCCGCTCAGAAACCACATGGGTGTCTCGAGCCTCCATGGGCTCCCTGCTTAACCCTTCCATCACGTTGTCATGAAGAACACAGTCTCTGTTGGGATCACTGCGGAGACTGTCTGGCTGTTTGTTCAGATGTTGTTTGTCAAACAGTTCCTGAGGGTTTCTCGTCATCCTCTCTGTAGGGTCAATCCCTGTTGTATTCCAGCTTTGAGCCCGTTGTTGATCGTTTCCATGGACATCAAGACCTTCTCTTTTCGCCACATCACAATATTCAAAACCTGCAGAATGATCATCGTCCACTTGTGGGAAGTGACTGCAGAGATCCTCAACCATAGCTTCCATGTCAGCTTGCATGTCACCTTCCATGGTTCTAGTCTTCTCATAGATCACCTCCACATGGCTGGTCATCATGTCAGCACCTGGGCATTTTACTTCCTGGATCTCTGTAACAGACAGTTGGTCATATTCTTGAAGGTCTGCGTCACTCAATGTCAAATTTTCTGGACTTTCCTGGGTGTTGGCAAAAGCAACATGGCTGTCTCGATCATCCGAACATTCTACTGCCTCCTCATGCACAAAGTCAGCCAGACGTTTGTTAACATCATTGTCAGTCAAGATCATGTCAGGCCACTCTTCTAGAGGCATGATGGTAACTAAGCTGTTCACATAATCTTCTGAACATACAACTTCACCTATATCCGTACCACACAGATGTCCAGGCAGGGGTTCTGGAGGGTCAGTGTCACTCAATATCATCTCCGTGGCAACATGGCTGGTCATGTCATCATCTGGGTATTTTACTTCCTGCATCTCTGTAGAACACACATGGTCAGGTTCTCGAAGGTCAGAGTCAGTCAACATGGTGTCAGGGAGAGTTTCATTTCCATCTTCTGGATCTTCCGGAGACTCGTTGGCAGAGGCATGCAGACGGCTAGCCTCAGGCGCCTCTGTGCCCTCACGTTGACAATCATCCCTCAGTTCAACTTCCTTCAAACCCTCCTCTTCCGGGTTATTATACACTTCTGTATCCTTCATCTGTCCAGATTGACTGTTTAGGTCACCGAGGGAACGGTGACTGGTAGTGGTCTGCTCCTCCTTATCCTGGGTGTGGTCCGTCTGGGACTGGGAGTCGTCCTGACATAAGCCTCCACAGTGCTCTTCAGGTGGAGAGCAGAGGTGAAACTCAATCTGCCTCTCAGCATAAGGACCATCGCTCCCCTCGGTTGTTCTCCGTTTAATGGTTTCTAGATCCTCATTGGTTATTGATGGGATCCTCTCAATGGGTTCTACATCCTCATTGGTTGTTGGGATCGTCTCAATTGGTTCTACATTCTCATTGGTTGTTGTTGGGATCCTCTCAATGGGTTCTACATCCTCATTGATTGTTGGGATCCGTATCATGGGCGCTCTCCTCCATCCCTCTCCATCCCAGTTTTCCAGTGCCTCTGGAACCACCGCAGTCTCCTCTAAAATAGAAGCAGGTGCAAAATGAGTGATAGGTTACATCCTCACATTCTGATTATAAACACCCATAGAATTAAAATACTATAATGACATGAACCTTCAGGACAGTATTAAAAAAAGGTCAGCCATTTTGGTAAGGGAGTTGGTAAACCACAGTCAGTCAGGGCTGTGATAAGACAGTGTAGAACGAATTTGCTCACTAACAGGGTCGTAAATGAATTTGTGCATAAAATCTTATCTTTCTGCATACGGAAAACTTCTGGGATATTTTATTTCAGCTCATAAAAAAAATAAAATAATTGGGACCACCACTTTACATGTTGCATTTATGTGTTTGTTCAGTGTACATAATTAGTCATTTCTATATTGTCTTGTCTTTAAGGTCCTGTCGAAAAACATGAAAATCAACTTAAGACAAATGCTGTTGCTCATAGGGAGTTTTAAGACTGGTAAGACCAGAGCGATGAGCAGGGGGTCTTGTTAACCAGGATCATTGATAATCGGGGATATGTTCCAGGGGTTATGGCCATTTGGACAGTTCAGACCAACACCTTACATGTTGCATTAATTGTTTTGTTCAGTGTATATTTCAAAATCAGTTTCCTATGGAGGATTGACAGTATAAAGACAGATTTTCATTCAAGTCAACATTCTCTGATGTGTGGACCGCCAACCATCTTTGTGGTACCAGTTGAAAGTAGATACTTCAATGTTATTCCCATTTTAGTACATTTACCAGCCCCCCAAAAAATTACACCCACCCTGTATTCAAGAGACTCGTGTCTCAACCGATGTTTGCAAATAAATACATCTGCGTTTAGATAATTGACGTTTAAAAAAACCCGACCATTTTTATTAAAACATTATATATATATATAGTTTGACAACCCTGTTCGTAAGCTTTTAAACAGTTTGAACTAAAATGATTTTTCTATTGTTTTTCTGAAGACAACCATTATTTTTCCTTCTGTTCCGACCAGCAAAATAAAGTTCTGAACCAGTTCAACCTGTCGTAGTAAATATATAATGTTATAGCTTGGTCTGACTAAAATCTTGTGCATGACCCATTTTGTGTTGGGCCTTTATTCAATACAATGGACAAAAGAGTCCTATCTTGTCAGCAGGTGGCTAAGGACAACACCCACGCCATAAGTCTCTCAGTTCTTCCAACTCACGAGTTCTTGCTCTGAGGACACACCACACACACACACACACACACATCATCACTGATAAACACACACACACATCATCACTGTTAAACACACACACACACACAAAAATCCCCTTCTCTTAGGCTGAACATCTGAAGACAGAGAACCCGACTCAGAGCCAATGCAACAGTGATACTAACCTGGAGGGGACCTCGCCCAACTCATCAGGACCAATCAGAGATCGAAATACTACGATTCAACCCTCATTTAATAAAATGTCAGCACACAGTTTCGGGCTCTCTCAGAATCTCCTCGAGATGAGAACGGGTGTGCACGATTCGATATCTTCCTTGAATAATGCCCTTATTACAATCACCCTGTATTTACTGGTCGAGTTCTCCAGTAACTGTTTATCAACAAAAAGCCCCCCAAAAAATTGTGTGCGCCTTACATTATCATATTTTTGGACATTTAGCTCGACATTAAATTACTTCGCTAGCTAACAAGCTTGTGTTGCAGAGCGGCACCAGAATTACACACGTCTTACCCTATGTTAGTTCGTAAATCCCAATGTAAAAAAATAAATCCAATGTTTTAACTACAGTATCCCTAATTCGCGTTGAAAAAAAGTTTCCATTCTCCAATCAATAAATAACTAAATAAATAAATCATCTTCTGAATTAAGTTTGTAACGGTCCAGCTATGCGTCGGAGGGGGGGGTGGGTAGCTGAAACGTCAGTAGGCTGCAGTGGACCATGCTTCAGAGGGGGTCGGACAGGTAGTCTGGCAGACAGACACTGGAATACGTTTGATTGATAGAGGGCTTGCATAGGCGATTGGTTGCGTTTTTGTGGGACAAAAATAAAATAAAAAAATAAAAGGCCGGAACGTAAAACATTAACTGCTTCTCATGCTTTTAAAATAACGGTTCTGTTAGTGGTTCGGATTCTTCAAATGAACAATGTTATTTTCCGGTTCTGTTCCCTGAACCGGTTCCAACCCCTGCTTTTAAATGAGATCAAATCTAAACAGATGACGTTTTCCAGTGATAAAGACATGGATGTCTCATTGTATAGTTGGGTATGCAACTTTGAACACCTTTTTTTTCCTCGCTGACATTTTGGCATTCAGGACCCAATAAGTCACTATGTTCACTTATACAATGGGCAAATATGTATGGAACGTTTTGTTCAAATCAAAAAGGGGTGAATTCAAATGGATTTACCTCTCGATTTAATATGATTTCTATACATTCATCTTCATACAGTCATCCGTTTTATTTGAAGCATATTCTTATCCTTTGCTTGTTTAAAACAAATTGCAAAGACATTAACACCTTTTTATTTGTATACAACATCGTTCTGAAGTTATCTGCGGTCAGACGGAAACCTCTTGATTCTATGTTAAACTGAGTGTGTAATGTGACGCGGAAGACAAGACATGCACTCCTCACTCAGACCACTAGAACAGCAGAGGCATTCAGTAAACAAGCGTTTTCAAGTGCAACTTCAGTAACGATGGTTTTGGGAAAAAGCTTGGAGAGTTAACGATGCTCCTACAAAAGGTTCTAACGATGAACTTCGCCTTAAGACGCTTTTGGGAAATGGGCCCTGGTCAGTTTCCAAATATAAAAAAAAGTGTCGGCTACATAAAATATCTAACATGAGCGGTGCATAGGGTTCCAAAGGAAGGGTATATTTAAGCAGTAAGGCCCGAGGTGGGGTATATGGCCAATATACCACGGCTAAGGGCTATTCTTACACACGACGCAAAGCTGGAAAACATTATCCCAAATATGAACCGTCAACTTAGTGAACACCATTGGTGTTTAATATGAGGGTTTCAGCATGAAATATGTGTATATAGACACACACTGAACAAAAATATAGAACTCAACACGTAAAGTGTTGGTCCCATGTTTCATGAGCTGAAATAAAAGATCCCAGCAATGTTTCAATACGCACAAAAAGCTTATTTCTCTCAAATTGTGCACACATTTGTTTACATCCCTGTTAGTGAGCATTTCTCCTTTGCCAAGATAATCCCTCCCCCTGACAGGTGCGGCATATCAAGAAGCTGATTAAAACAGCATGATCATTACACAGGTGCACCTTGTGCTGGGGACAATAAAAGGCCACGCTAAAATGTGCTGTTGTGTCACAACACAATGCCAGTTGTTTGGTGCCAAAACGTTTGCCAAACAAAGACATAGTAAAATAATTCCATATATATATATATCAAAAATATAAATGCAGCAATTTTACTGAGTTACAGTTCATATAAAGGAAAATCAGTCAATTGAAATAATTTAATTAGGCCCTAATCTATGGACTTCACATGACTGGGCAGGGGTGCTGCCATGGGTGGGCATAAGCCCACCCACTGGTATATATATTTTAAAAAATACACTGATTTATTTTACTATGTTGCAAATGTTTTTGCACCAAACAAGTGACAGTTGTGAAAAAAGCTAGCTAGCTATGTTGTGGTGTTTTTTTATTACACCTTATTCAAAAGATTAGCCAGCTGGCTAGGCTGTGGCTGGTTCTGGTTCTGGATTTGTCATATGCATTTCTCTAAAATGTTGGCGGCCGCAAATATGCCATGAAATAGTTGGAAATAATAAAATGACGCTCTGGTAATATGAATAACTGTTGAAATGGGTTGGGATAGAGATGCGTTTTTATACATTTAGAAATGGACATGGTGCAACCTTTGGTAGGTAGGCTGCTGGCAGGCTTCCGCACAGCAAAGTTTATAATTTTGGTATGAGAGTTGACTTTTTTTTTATCCAAAAAAGGATAATTCACCCAGATTACACATTGGTTTTCTTACCCTGTAAATGGTCTATGGACAAGCTATGACATGAATTCATGCTTTGGTTTAGTTTCCCAGGCACCATTTCCACATGCTAACGTTGTAGCATTTGTAGATTAGTTTATTCTGACAATACCATTTTATATATATATATATATATACACACACAACAATCCTATGTGGCACAAATCCCATTCAAGTCATGGGACCGATATTAGCATTTTTCCCCACATGTCCAAATCATCCAAAAGTATCTGATATTGATTGTGAAGCTCAACCATGTCACTTACAGAGGATTTGTACATGATGCAAAAAAAATAGTAATAACCATCACGACTTGAATGGGATTTGTGTCTCAAACATTAGCATGTTAAACCAGTGCCAAGGAACACTAAACCAAAGCATGGATTGCCTTCATCTCTTGTCCATGGACTCCTTACAGGGTAAGGAGAACCAATGTAGTAGGGTCAACTACCCCTTTAACTATTTTTAATTTTTCTATCTCATGCGCACTCAGTTCAAGGAGACCTGAGCACACGTGTGTGTTAGTAGGCATGACTGTAGCAGGCTACCGAGTGTAGCATCATGGAGGGTCTTTCATATAATCTACAGCAACACAACGAGCAAGATAATAATCCTACTACATGAATGGTTAAGGCATATTTGTCTTCATTCAAATCTTAAAACCGATCAGTGAAGGGTGAACACGAATAAACGCTGATTTACCTGTTGACTCGACACAAGAGAGGGGTGCTTCTTCGTTTGTAGTCTCTTTTCCGTCCTTTTCAGGTTCCAGAATAGTGTCATCATCGACCTTTCTTCTCGGACCTTTCAGTGTCTGTATAGATCTGTATATGATCATTGCAGCCCATACAGACATTATGGCAAGAATAGCGAGAACCACTGCAATCATCCAATCATTCATGCAACACAACGCAGTTAAATCCCCAGCATGGCTTTCAAAGGCGACGGTTTTACTTTTCTTGATGGTCATTTTGGCAGCTTCTGAACATCGACAGCAGAGAGCCAGGTAAAACAACGTGATCGGATATAGGCACTCGGATACCAATAAGAGTGTGTGTGTGTTGTTCTCCCCGCGCGTTCCAAATGACCTCTCGTTGCGGCACACACACATATCTCAGATCTGCAATCAGGTGAGCCCACTGACAATTGGCTGATTCGAATCATGGGCTGCGTTTAACACAGGCAGCCCAATTCTGATACTTTTTTTTTGGGGACCAATAATATCAGCTCTGAAAAATATCTGACGTGAAAAGATCTAAAGTGATTTGTCAAAATACCAATTAGTAGTAAAAAAAAAAATTCAGAATTGGGCTGCCTGTGTAAACGCACCCTAGGGCAGGGTTTCCCAAACTGCCCCCCCGCATGTTTTCGTTTTTGCCCTAGTTCTGCACAGCTGATTCAAATAACAAACTCATCATCAAGCTTTGGGAAACACTGGCCTAGGGTACCACTAGTCTCAAACTATTCATACAGGGTGACGGTATAACCAGGTGTTGGAAGAATCAATGGCCAGCAGCACACATGGCTAGAGCAGACATTGATCAAGTGAGGCAATCCAATCAAAAATATTGCACATTTCTTTCACTCAAGCACCAATTAGGCTAGCCTGTATGTTAAACCAAATGATAAAACATGAATCAATCAAACAACAATACGATTAATTGCATACAGGCCACACCCTGAAAATAGTTAAACCAATATTTTAATGATTGTGTGCTGCATTGGTCATGTTGTATGGAAATTGATGCTTTGTGAAACAAATTCGGATGACTTTTTTTTTTGTATTATCGTGGACTGGCTCACACATAAGCCTAGGGTGTGTACAAATGAATTATTAGTGTGTGGGTGGTATGGGACTTAGTCATGAATAACCCGGTACGATTGGGATCTTATTATTTGACAGCCATTTATTTCAATACTCACAATTGAGAACTCGTTCCTTTCCAGCCTCTCAGCGTTACTGATACTGTCAATGAAAAGTACGAATTTCCTGCCATCTAGTGGAATACAGGGGTATGTCCCACAATCCATGTATTTGGCTTTACTAGCTACTGAAATGTATGTATATATATATATATATATATATATATATATATATATATAGGACAAATCCTTGGCCAGAAAGGGCTTGATCAGTGTAGGCCATTCATACGTGAAACCGTCTATTCATTTGTTTAACTGTATTATTGCGTCAGTATCATCATGTGATGAAAAGCCAATAGATTTTCTGTTAACCAATAGTTTTTCTGTTTACCGGTAGCTTTGCGCTTGATATCACTCTGGCATTTCCAAATTAATCTCGATGGGTCATTGTTGATGTCTAGCGTCGGCAGGGACAGAGTCCTCTGTTAAAAAAACAGACTGTTGTTTCCGTAATCGACATCCTCTTCAAATTAGGACACTTTGTTATTACTCTCAAGTAGATTAGCTACTTTAAATCTAATCTTATTTCCAGTATATCGATTGTGGAGTCTGTGCAATGCGTTGCAGTTGTACATCTCGTTCAGAAAATTATTATTTGCACCTGTGTCAAACTAGCAACAATAAGGATTAGCCACAATTAGGTCGCCTTCAAAATAAAAGTTTCAAAGTTTATTCGCCACATGTAGTACAGTGAAATTCTTACCATGAGAGCTCTTTCCCAACAATGCAGTGATGGTAATAATAATAATAATGATAATAATAGAAAATATAATTAAAAATAAAGTAAGAATTAAAACCACACAAGAACTACGATGAGAGTTAAAGAAACAGGAGAATGCAAGTATATACAGGTCTGTGCCAGTACCTTATTAAACGTGCAGGGATACTGGAGTGGTTGAGGTGGGTTTATACATAGAAAGTGACTGGTAGTAGGATATACATGTAAACAGGACTGAAAAGTAACTAGTAGCAGGAATATATAAATACTTACGGTAATATACTAATGGTAATATATACATGTAAACAGGAGTAACAGTGAATAGTAATATAATAAATAGATAGATACTAATGTAATGGCAATCAATAATCAATGGACAGCAGCATAATGGAGTAATACATCTAATCAATAATCATTTTAGCAGCAGCGTCGGTTGTGTCTGAGTGGGTAGAGACCTGTGGATGGGCACAGAGTCAGTGTGGATAGTCTGTGGGAGAGAGAGAGATTAGGAGTTGTTAGCCATTGAACAGTCTTATGGCCAGGGGATAGAAGCTGTTTAGGAGTCTGTTTGTCTGAGCCTTGATGTACTCATACCGCCTGCCGGACGGGAGCAGGGAGTCTTTGGCAATTTTTTCGGGGCTTACTCAGACACCGCCTGGCATGTACGTCCTGGATGGCTGGGAGCTCGTCCAACTCAGACACCGCCTGGCATGTACGTCCTGGATGGCTGGGAGCTCGTCCAACTCAGACACCGCCTGGCATGTACGTCCTGGATGGCTGGGAGCTCGTCCACTCAGACACCGCCTGGCATGTACGTCCTGGATGGCTGGGAGCTCGTCCAACTCAGACACCGCCTGGCATGTACGTCCTGGATGGCTGGGAGCTCGTCCAACTCAGACACCGCCTGGCATGTACGTCCTGGATGGCTGGGAGCTCGTCCAACTCAGACACCGCCTGGCATGTACGTCCTGGATGGCTGGGAGCTCGTCCAACTCAGACACCGCCTGGCATGTACGTCCTGGATGGCTGGGAGCTCGTCCACCCAGTAATGCGCTGCGCCGTCCGCACCACCCTTTGTAGGGCCTTCCGGTTGTGGGCGGTGTAGTTGCCATACCAGACGGTGATACAACTAGTCAGGGTGCTCTCAATGGTGCAGCTATAAAAAAAAAAATTTTAAAAAGTTCCTGAAAATCTGAGGGGCCATGCCAAATCATTTCAGCATCCTGAGGGAAAAAATCATTTCAGCATCCTGAGGGAAAAATCATTTCAGCATCCTGCCTTTTTCACGATTGTTCTGGTGTGAGAGGACCATGTGAAGTCCTCAGTGATGTGGACACCGAGGAACTTGAATCTCTTGACCCTCTCCACTGCGGCCCCGTCAATGTGGATGGGGGGGTGAACCCCCCCCCCTTTTCCCGTACTCCACGATTAGCTCCTTGGTCTTGCTGACGTTGAGGGAGAGGTTGCTGTCCCGGCACCACACTGCAAGTTCTCTGACCTCCTCCATGTAGGCTGTCTCATCGCTGTTGGTGATCAGTCCTACCACCGTCGTATCGCCAGCAAATTTGATGATGGAGTTGGAGTCGTGTGTGGCCTCACAGTCGTGGGTAAACAGGATCCCCCATTAAAACTGATCCAAACGGATACAAATATTGGAATAATGCCATATTTGGACTAGATAAAGCCAAACAAGGTTGGAATTATTTTAAATAACTTATAATAAATAAACTGCAATAATTTATTTATTTGACAAACAGTTTTTTAAAAAAAGTGTTGAAATCCCAGGACAGAGAGATAATAGCAACATATAATATTCAGTGCTGTCTAATTTCAGTATAATGAAGCCTGGTCCTTTGTGATTTTTTTTCTGTCCTCATATGGAAAGCTGTGAAAGCCTATTTGCAGATGAAGGGTGACATCCCAATGAATGTCCCAAGAGACTAAGGGGCTTTCGCGGACATAAATTAAGCCTAATCCAAGACTAAATTACACTTTTAAACTGGACTAACTGAAATTGCATTTCTCAGACATGGTGTAAAACGGTCTCAGACTTGCCCTAGTCTAGATTTAAGAAGTCAGATTTCCAGGAGGATTAGATTAGATTAGAGTTAATCCAGATCTAAGTGAAGTCTTGAATTAAACCTGTCCAGAGGCAGGCTTAACTTCAGATTAATGGATGTTGGCCCCCAGGTTGACCTTGGCAATGGAGGGAAATTGATTACCCGGACTATTTCAATGTGTGTGGCGCAGTGGTCTAAGGCACTGCATCGCAGTGCTAGCTGTGCCACTAGAGATCCTGGTTTGAATCCAGGCTCTATCGTAGCCGGCCGCGACCGGGAGACCCATGGGGCGGCGCACAATTGGTCCAGGGTAGGGGAGGGAATGGCCGGCAGGGATGTAGCTCAGTTGGTAGAGCATGACGTTTGCAACGCCGTGGTTGTGGGTTCGATTCCCACGGGGGGATATGAAAAATAATAAAAAATAATGTATGCACTCACTAACTGTAAATCGCTCTGGATAAGAGCGTCTGCTAAAATGTAAAATGTAAGATCAAAGAGCACCACCAAGACCTGACAGAAGCGCATATAGATTAGACATTACAGACAGGAGCAACCCACTGAATGATTTTGATGAAATCAATTTCTGTGACCGTTTTCGTCTGCACAAAGAAAATGCAGCTGACATTTTTTCTGACATGTCAACGTTGTGAACAGAGTCCCCTATGGTGGTGGTGGGGTTATGGTATGGGCAGGCATAAGCTACGGACAATGGAAACAACTGCATTTTATCGATGGCAATTTGAATGCACAGAGATACTGTGACAAGATCCTGAGGCCCATTGTTTTGTAATTCATCCTCCGCCATCACCTCATGTTTCAGCATGTTAATGTAAGGCCCCATGTCGCAAGGATCTGTACACAATTCCTGGAAGATGAAAACGTCCCAGTTCTTCCATGGCCTGCATACTCACCAGACATGTCACCCATTGTGCATATTTAGGATGCTCTGGATTGACGTGTACGACAGCGTGTTCCAGTTCCCGCCAATATCCAGCAACTTCGCACAGCCATTGAAGAGGAGTGGGACAACATTCCACAGGCCACAATCAACAGCCTGATCAACTCCATGCAAAGGAGGTGTTGCGCTGCATGAGGCAAAATGGTGGTCACACCAGATACTGACTGGTTTTCTGATCCACACCCCTACCTTTTTATTAAGGTACTGTATCTGTGACCGATGCATACAGTGGGGAAAAAAAGTATTTAGTCAGCCACCAATTGTGCAAGTTCTCCCACTTAAAAAGATAAGCTGTAATTTTCATCATAGGTACACATCAACTATGACTGACAAATTGAGGAAAAAAAATCCAGAAAATCACATTGTAGGATTTTTAATGAATTTATTTGCGGTCACCTACAAACAAGCAAGATTTCTGGCTCTCACAGACCTGTAACTTCTTCTTTAA